AGCCCTGGAGGAGGCAGAGATGCCCACTTGCCCTCGCTCCACTTTTGCCCCACACCCCATCCCAGAGCTGGGATAGACCTCAGGCATCCAGGCTCCCATTAGCCCCAGCTCTAAGCTCCTAGACCCCCTCCCACAGCAGGAAAAGAACCCAGGCATCTGGACTCCCACTGCTTCTCAGAGCTGGCAGAGAACCCAGGCATTGGGGCTCCCAGACCCCACTCCACTCACACAGCTAGTAGAGAACCTAGGTGTCTGGGTTCCCAGCCCCCCTGCTCCAGGCCCCCAGGCCCCATTGCCCTCCCAGAGCTAGGGAGAACCCAGGTGTCCAGGCTCCCTCCGCCCACTGCCCGGCCCCACCTTAGGTCCTGTGTCACCTGGAAGGCCCCTGGCACCATCGGCCCCAGAACGGCCCTGCAAGACAAGGTGGGTCAGGGAAGCCAGGAGGCACCAGGTGTGCGCACTGTGGTGGGGAGGGGGCAGGGCCCGACCCTCCCCCTCTTGCCTAGCCTCCCTGGTGGCCCCATCAGGCCTTGGATCCCCCGTGGACCCTGTGGAGACAGCAGAGGGGCTGACACCTGCCTCCTCCCGCATCTGGCCCAGCACCTGGCTGCTCAGCCCATGCCCCCCATCCCCCTGGACCTGGTCCCCTACCCTTCCAGTGCTCAGCTGCACTCCCCACCCTGCCCCGCTCAGCCCAGCCCCCCATGGCAACCCCCAACACCCACATCCTACCCCAGGACTTACCGGCAGCCCCATGTCACCCGTATCGCCCTTCAGCCCTGGATAGCCTGGGAGACCCTGGGGACACAGCACGGTGACCAGGCCTGATCAGCCCAGCCCTCTCCAGCCCCCACCTCCCCAGCTCCCCCACTCCCATGCAGCTACTCACCAGGGGTCCAGGGCGTCCAGTGAGGCCCATGGGGCCAGGGGGGCCCTTCATGGCCAGCTGTGGGAAGAGGAGAGGGAGGGGGGTGAGGCAGGGGCTGGGGAACAGCTGGGGGTCAGGGGGCCTAGGGGGGACTCACTTTGGCCTGCTGCAGGATGGCCTGGGCCTGCGCCTCCTGGAACGAGACTGCTGGGCCTTTGTGGGTGTCACCACCGAACTGGAACTAGCGGGGCAGAGGGAGGTGGGGAGGGCAGTGAGTGAGGGGCCCAGGGCTGCACCCCCCACAGCCCCCAGAGCTGACCTCCCATGACCCCCAAAGCTGACCTATGACCCCCCTAAGCTGATCCCTCTGTGACCCCCAGAGCTGACTCCCATAACTCTCCAAAGCTGCAGGCCCCTGTGACCCCCCAAAGCATCCCCATGTAATCTCCCCCCAAGCTGTCTCCCATGATGTCCCCATGACCCCACAAAGCTGCAGCCCCTTGTGACCTCCAGAGTTGACCCCCAGAACTGGAACCCCTCACACCCTTCAGAGCTGACCACCTCCCCTTGCACCTCCACACCTCTAGCTGCAATTCACAGCCCTGCAAAGCAGCTGGAGTTCCCCAACCCTTTCCTGCCCCACCTGTCTTCCCCCACTGTACCCATACCCACCGGCAGCATGATCATTGTGCCTGGTGGCCCTCGCGCCCCGTCGGCTCCTGGCACGCCTGGCCTCCCAGCGGGACCCTGTGAAGGAGGGGGCGGCCATCAATCATGGAGCATCAAGTTGGGGCTTGCAGCCCCCCAGCCCCCTCCCCTTGCTTCCCTTTGCTGCCAGGCGGACGTGTACTGACAGGGAGTGAGCCGCTCATTCCTCAGCCCCTGCAGCCCCCAGCACAGCAGGGCCCAGGGCTGCAGCTGCAGAGAGACCGCCTCCACATCCCTACCTCCCTGTGCCGTGGCATCCTTACCCAGTCGCCAGGGTCCCCTGGAAACCCTGGAGGCCCTGGGGGCCCTGCAGGGCCCATTTCACCCTGGGAAGGCATAGAAGAGAGTCAGACCCCAGCAGAAACCCCCCAGCCCCTCCCAGATGCTCACAAACCCAACCTGACCCCGACTGCTGCAGCCTCCAACCCCCGTCTGCCCCCCAAATCCAGCCTGTCCCATGCCTGCAGGGGCAAGTGGACAATAAATCCTCCAGTACTGCCTGCTCCTTACTGAAGGGCCTGGAGGTCCAGGTGGCCCCTCAAACTGCTGGCCCTGTGGAGAGGGAGAAAAGGAGCCCATTAGAGCCACAGCGGGAGTGGAGGTGCATCCCCCAAGGCCCAGCCCCATGCCCACCATGCTGGTCCCATCCCATACTCACAGGCTCCACAGCACCCGGCTCCCCCTTCTCGCCCTTCAGACTGCCTTTCTGGAAGACATGAGGGGCGGCGTGGGGTTGGAGGGAGAGCACACGTCCCATGCCTCACACCCTTGAAACCCCAGCTACACACCCCACAGGTGCAATGCTAGTGTATGGCCCACAGATGCTATGCTCTTGTATGGCCTGTGGGCTCCCTGCCTGTGTCCCCTAGTCTGGCAGCCCCAGGAGGGTAGTACCTGCATGGTCCAGACCATGGTGTCATCAGGTTCTGCAGGGCCAAAGCGGCCAGGTCCCAGGGGCTCTGTGGCCTCCTCATACTCCTCATACTCCTGTGGCCAGGAGCCAGTGGCACTGGGGTTCCCGTCACGCCCAAGCACCAGGTCCTGCGGGGAAAGGCTGTTCATTGGGGGTCACCAGGCCAGGGGCATGGGGGTGGGGGTGATGCTCACTGGTGCCTGTGGTACCTCATGGGGGTTGGTGTGGCCAGGGCTGGTGGTCACAGTGGGGACAGGATTGGTAGTGGGCACTGGAGTACTGTGTTCATCCTCTGATGGGGCCACAAGTGACTCATCCTTGGAGACACGGAGACAGAAGAATGTATCAGGTGCCTGCCTAGAGCCAGCATGGAACCCAGGGATGGGGGGAGCAGGGAGGCGTTGGGGCTGTGCACAGCTGTATCAGGTCCCAGATGGTGCTGTGATGAGCCCATGCCTAGCTCCAGTCCTATGTGGGTGCCACAGGCTGGCGGAGCTGTGTGGGGCAGCTGCTTCCAGCTACGGGGCATTACAGGCTGGGCAGAGGGCTCTGGCCTGGGTGCTGGAGAAGGCAGAGGGGTAGGGAATGGGTGCAGGAGTCAGCAGCTGGCTGTGGGGAGGGGCTGACAGAGGGCCCAGTGTGGTTGGGGTTTCCCAGGCAGGGCTGGGATCAGGGGACCCAAGCAATGGTCCTGGGCAGCCACTGGCCGCCCCCCCTTTCCCACCATGACTCATCGCCCTGGAGCCAGCCATGCTCTGGCCCCCAGCCCGGTTCACAGCCGTCAGCTGCAGCCTGGGCTGGGTGCCGGCGCCGGGGCTGGGCCAGGGGCTCCCCTGGCCTTGGGGGCTGAGGTTCAGCCATGGGCTCCAGGGATCAGGGTGGGGTCCGGTACCTGGCCTAGTGCCATGAGGGGCGTGGGCACTTCCAGCTGCTCCTTGTTCCTCTTCTTCTTGCCTTTGCCCTTGCGCCGGCCCTGGCCTTTACCTTTGCCTTTGCCCTTCTTTCCCTTCCGTCGTGGAGTGCTGGTTGGCTCTGACCTACTCTGCTGGAGAGGGGCAAGGAGAGCATGAGGAACAGACAGATGGACCCATGCTGCCCCCAGCCCCTGCCCTGCTGGAGGTGGGTCTGTCTTCCACCTACCTGCTCCGGGAAGGGCGCCTGCAGTGGGTAGGCCAGTGGCACATCGCAGCCAGGCATGTAGTGTTCGCAGTACACCTGAGCAGCTGCCGGATCTGGCACAATCAGCAGCTGCTGCACATCGCCCTGTGGAGGGAGAAAGGAGAGGCTTGTACACGTGTGTGCATAGGCAGGGACAGGTGTATCCATGTAGATAGGGCTGATGGAGTTGCACAGGCACCTCTGTCTGGGAGTGAAACCATCCTGATCCTCATCCTTTGTTTCAAATACTCTGGATACCTCCCCCCCCTCACACACACACCCCTGGGCTGACCTGGCTTGGCCCAGTCCCTTGCTTGCCAGGCAAACAGGAAGGGGCAGGTGTCTGTGCAGGGGTGGGGGCGGGGTGGGGGGAAGCTGGCACCAGCAGGGCACAGCTGGCACTGGGTGAGTCATGGCACAGGGATGGGGTCATGCCAGGACACATATGTAGGGCCCTGATGCCCCACCCTGCCATTGCTTTCCCAGGGAGATCGCCTTCCCTGCCTGGCTCCTGACCTGGCCCAGCCCAGCCCAGGCCAGCCTGGCCCAGCCTGATTTGGCCCCCCAGATGCCCCAGCTGGGTGGAGCCCCAACAAAGGGCCCTTGTTCCCAGGGGTGGGGGTGGATGCCCCCGTGGCCCTGTGAAAGGGCCTCTCTCTCCCAGTGGCCCCTGACATTTGCCTAGAGCAGCGTCAGCATGAAGGAATGTGGGGGGTGGCAGAGCCCTGGAGGGTGCAGGTGGATGCACACCCAGGCATGCTTGCAAACACACTTGAACACCTTGCACATGTATTGCATGCTTCCACACACACTCGCATCACATGCTTACACACAACACACACACTCACAGCCCCCAGGCATGCTTGCACATGTGCTTGCACAAGCATCACACACTTGCACATGTATCACATGCTTGCACACACACTCAGACACGCATCACACTCTTGCACACATGCTCACATACATTGCATGTTTGCACACATGCTCACATACATTGCATGTTTGCACACATGCTCACATACCCTGGCATGCTCATACATGCTCTTGTACATGCATTACAGACTTGCACACACACTCACATATGCATCACATACTTGCACACGCATTCACACACATTGCACGTGGCCTCTCCTGCATGCCCATGAACAGGGGCACACAGACACCCTCTCCCCTGCCCGGGCTCCACACCTGGAAGACCTCCTCATCCATCAGCCGTGCCCCGAAGACTGTGATGCCCTCAGTGCTGACCACGGGCCATAGGCCCCGTGCCAGGGGCAGTGTTGCCACGGGCATGCAGTCCAGCCACAGCATCACAGCCTGGCCCTCCACGCTCAGTGCCACCCGATGCCACCTGCAGGGGAACAGGATGCCTGGGTTCTAGCTCGGCTCTGGGAAGGGGCTGGGGGTCAGAGCCCAGGCAGGGGGCCTGGACGCCTGGGTTCTCTGCCTGCCCGGCCCTCATCCGCCCTGGGCCAGGTCAACCTGTTGGATTCCAGAGATTCCAGGTCTGGGAGGGGAGATGGGATAGGGGGTGAGGGTGGTAGGACACCTGGGCTCCATCCTGCCTCTGGGAGGGGATGAGAGTCTGTTGGGCTGGGGGGGCGGGGGGCCCGGATGCCTGGATTCCCAGTCGCTCACCTGCCGTCGGCCCAGTACGCCTGG